TTTGGTTGGAAGGCTTTCGATGACTGCTTCTATTTTGTTGCGGGTTATAGGTCTATTTACGTTGTTTGTCTATTCTTGATTTAATTTTGGTAAGTGATAGTTATCCAGAAATCTGTCCATTTCCTTTGAATTTTCAATTTTTGTGGAGGAATACAGATTGTCAAAGTATGACCTGAAAATTGTCTGGATTTACTCTGTGTTCGTTGTTATGTTCCCCTTTTCGTTTCTGATTATGTTAATTTGCATGTTCTCTCTCACTGCTTTTTCGTTAATTTGGATAAAGGTTTGTCTATCTTGTTGATTTTCTCAAAAAAACCAAGTCTTCGTTGCATTGATTTTTTTTTTTTTTGTATTGTTTTCCTAGTTTCTATTTTGTTGATTTCAGCCTTCAAGTTGATTATTTCCTGATATCTTCTCCTATGGGGTGAATTCACCTCTCTCTGTTCTAAGGCTTTCAGTTGTGCTGTTAATTCTCTTATGTGACTATCCTCTGTTTTCTTCATATGGGCACTTAGTGCAATGAACTTCCCTCGTAGCACTGCTTTCAAGGTGTCCCATAAGTTCGGGTATGTTGTGTCCTTATTCTCGTTGAATACTAGAAACTCCTTAATTTCTTTCTTTATTTCTTCTTTGACCCAGGAGTGGTGCAATTGCACATTGTTCAGTTTCCATGAGTTTGCAGGTTTTCTGCTATTTGTGTTGTTGAATTCCAATTTTAAAGCATCTTGGTCTGATAAGGTAAGGTACAGGGGACTATTCCTATTCTCTTGGATCTGTTGAGGTTTGTTATGCCACTTAGTATGTGGTCGATTTTAGAGAAGGTTCCATGTGGATCAGAGAAGAAGGTATATTCTTTTGTCTTTGGATGGAATGTTCTATAGATATCTGTTAAACCCAGTTGAGACATAACTTCTGATAGTTCTTTTGTTTCTTTGTTGAGTTTCTGGTTTGTGTTCCTGTCTAGTGTTGAGAGTGTTGTATTGAAGTCTCCCACTATAAGTGTGTGAGGTTTTATATGAGCTTTGAGTTTTAGTAGTGTTTCTTTTATGAATGTGGGCGACTTTGTATTAGGGACATAGATGTTCAGAACTGAGACTTTTTGGTGATGGATTTCTTCTGCGATGAATATGAAATGACTGTCTTCATCTCTTTTGATTGATTTTGGTTTGAAGTCTAACTCATTAGATATTAGGATAGCTATGCCTGCTTGCTTCTTATTTCCATTTGATTGGAAAATCTTTTCCCAACCCTTTACCCTGAGGTAATGTCCATCTTTGAAGCTTAGATGTGTTTCTTGTATGCAGCAGAAGGGTGGATTCTGTCTTCGTATCCATTCTGTTAGCTAGTGTCTTTTTATAGGTGAGTTAAGACCATTAATGTTGAGGGTGAGTAAGGTCCATTGATTTTTGATGTGTGTTTGAATTAGGTTTGTTGTTGGCAGTGGTATTGTGAATATATTAGTTCTGCTTCACCCTTGGTTTTTGGTGTCGTTGGATTATCTGTTGCCTATATTTTTGTGGGCATAGTTACCTTCCTTGGGTTGGAGTTTTCCTTCCAATACTTTCTGTAGGGCTGGATTTGTAGATACGTATTGGGAAAATCTGGTTTTGTCATTAAATATCTTGTTTTCTCCATGTATAGTGATTGAGAGTTTTTCTGTATATAGTAGCCTAGGCTAGCATCTGTGTTCTCTTAGTACTTGTAGAACATCTATCCAGGACCTTCTGGCCTTGAGGGTTTCCATGGAGAAGTCAGGTGCAATTTTGATATGTCTGTATGTATATGTTACTTGTCCTTTTTCCTTCGCTGCTCTTAATATTCTTTATTTATTCTGTATGCTAGGTGTTTTGATTATTATATGTCGAGGGGTCTTTTTTCGTTGGTCCATCCTATTTGGGGTTCGGTATGCTTCTTGTACTTTCATGGGCATGTCCTTCTTCAGATTTGGAAAGTTTTCCTCGATGATTTTGTTGAATATGTTTTCGGCAACTTTGAGCTGGGCTTCCTCACCTTCCTCTATGCCTATTATTCTTAGGTTTGTCCTTTTCATGGTGTCCCACATTTCTTGGGTGTTTTGTGTTAAGGATTTGTTGGATTTATGATTTTCTTTGTTCGATGAATCTATTTTTTCTAGTTTATCTTCTGCGCCTGAGATTCTCTCTTCCATCTCTCGAATTCTGTTGGTTATGCTTGTGTCTGTAGTTCCTGATTATTTGCCAAGTTTTTCTATTTCTAGCATTCCTTAGGTTTGTGTTGAGGGCCTCTATCATTTTTATGTTGGTAACTTTTAAGTTGTTCCCTTCTGCTTCTTCTGCTTTGTTGTTGTGTTCCGTTCTAGTTGGTGTAGATTCCCTAGATTCTGGTGGTGTCATGTTTGTCTTTCTGTTGTTAGGTGTTTTCTTGTATTTCTTTCTTCCCATAGCTTCTTCCAGTAGGTGTTGGTGGGGTCTTCCCTTCTCTCTATGGTACTTTCCTGGTGGGCTTATGTAAGTTAGAGATTCAATATCTGTAGCTCTGTGTGGTCCAAGCTCTCTAAGAGGTCTCTCCGCAGACAGGGACCCAAGGATGGGGTCAGGGCTGAGGATCCAGTAGAAGATGCAATGAGCCAATGACTCTAACCAATGGCTGGCAGAAGAAGACAAAGGCTGAGCTGAAACTTGGGAAGGTTTTGCAGGATAGTCAGATCTCATTGGAAACTGGAACTCTTCAGCTGAGGCCTGTTTCTTTAGCAGAGGCCCAGAGTTCGGTGTCAAGGATCTTGTTGGCAAGAACTCAGAGTGGACCAGCAGAGATAGGCAGATCTCTGGCAGGGGCCCGGGACTCCAGCAGAGGACTGCAGGTGGGGTCAGAGACCAAGCAGTTGGAAATTACTGGTGGTCCCATGTGGATAGGCAGGTCTCCTTTGTTCAGAGTTGCTAGGAGAAGTCTCCGAAGTAGGGTTGTCTGTTGGCTCCACCCTCTGTCCCAGTGCTCAACCAGAGCGGCAGGACCGTGGGCAGGGTAGGGCACAGGGTAGGGGGGGGGCAGGCTCGTGGTCGGGATGGGTGGGGGTGTATCAGAGCTCCAAGGGTGCTCTTGATGGGGACAGGACACAGTAGCCGACAATGAACATTTTTAAGAAAAGTGTTGCTGGCAGTTTTCTTTCCCTCCAGGTCCTACTGCTGCTTTGTCTCAAATAAGTACACAAACACTATATTATTTATAAAACTGTTGGCCAATGGCTAGGGTTTCTTAATGGCTAGCATTACCTTAATTGTTAACCCATAAATGCTAATATATGTGTTTCTACATGGCCTTTGCTTGCCAGAGAATGCCAGGACCTGCTACTCCTTTTGGCAGTTACATGTTTGCTCTTTCTGGCTGGATTTCTCTGCCTACCTTTCTCAGAATTCTCCTCATCTCCTCACCCCACCTATATTCCTGCTTTATTCATCAACCAATGAGAGAAACATATATACAGAAGAAGATTCCCCATCAGACAAGGATTCTGCTTTTGGAGATTTCTAGTGTAGTATCAAGCTTATGCTAGTTACTCAGTAAGTTGAGTCGACTGAAGATCTGCATGAATGTCTTTGTAAATTTTATTTACCATACACTAAGAGTCACAGCATTGATTGGAGAAGTTAGAATTGCACATTTCCACATGGATATTTTGCATTGTTTCCAACCAATTTTCCTGTCTGAACACAACTGATCCTGCATCCTCCATACACCTCTCCCCTCTACTGTTGCTTGCTGCTCCCCATCTCCTTGGTGGTAGGCTCTAAGCTGCAAAGCATCCAGCCACTTCCTCCCTTCCTACATGCTGTTCATCTAATTCATGCCGGTATCATACTGTGTTTACCTCTGACATGTCTCTGAAGTGATGGATATGAGGTCCTTTTTTAAGTCCAGGTGTCCTTCGTAATCTCCTTAGAGCTCTGAGATGATTGGAGAATATTTACTGACAAATGAGCAAGAGGATTGAATTTTAAAATAAATAAATAAAACCTTTCAATGTTAGAAATCATATCTTCACTGAGCTGTGGGAGCATTTATTTCATCATCTTTGGAAACACCTGTGTTTTCCAAAACTCTGTATTCAAGAGACAGAGCAGACAGTGGGAATTTTTCCATGTGCATGGCACCTAGAAGGCGGTTGATAAATGAATAAGGAATAAAGATGAAGGGGTGAGTAGAGATAGATCAGGGATGGCAAGATATTTCTGAATGCAGCTTCTAGTCTGTATTTGACTGGAATGTGATTTTCCATGCACAAGATGAAAGGCCAGAGTTAGAAAGACAGACAGCATCACCTTCACTTTTAGTCACTACTTGAGAATGTCATTAGTGCCTTAGCCTGGGTAATGTGAATCTGTGGAAACCCAAATGTGCTCTAGAAAGTGCCTGTAATGGAAAAATCAGTAATAACAACTACTTGTTTAAAAGAAAGAAATGGAGATCATAGGTGTCAGGTTTCAATCAAATATTTTTGCAAGAATTCTACAAAGGTTCCTATATTAGTTTCTTATTCACTGATTGTCATATTATTAACAAATTGTCAACAAAATTGTATTAGTAGCACTTAGTAGTTAAGGGAGGTTGTAATATTCATCCTGGGGGATGGTGAGATGGCTTAGCAGGTTAAGCATCTGCAGCACAAACCTGGTGGGCTGTTTGATCCCGAAAACCTATGAAAAGGTGGAAGGGAGAGAGCCAGCTCAACAGAACCGTTCTTTAACTTGCATGTGCATACCATGTCATGTTTACCTCTGAGTCATTCACACACATACACATGATAATAACAGTATCAACAACAATAACAAATATATTTTTAAAAATTATTCTGAACTTTGTCCTCCAACATAACAAAATTTTAAGTTCCAAAGCTTCAAGTACTGAGTAGTGATGGTCAGTAAGTTTTTCCTGGGGTGGCTTGTTCTACAAGTTAATGGTGTGCTTCCTTCTATGATGAAAATAAATAGTTACATGTCTACTGAGTTTCTGTTTCTGTTTTACAGGGGAAAATGGTGAAAGGAATGGGAGGAGCTATGGATTTAGTATCCAGTTCCAAAACTAAAGTGGTGGTCACCATGGAGCATTCTGCCAAGGTAACACGTTGTTTCCTCGAACTTCTGAAGACTCACAGGCCATCGAGCCTTGGTGTCTGTGTCGTTTGACTGGCTTTTAATTTTTCTCTGGTTTACTGAAGGTGATGGCACTTACATTTTAGTGGGAAAGAACACAGAGAGGTAGTAATGCATTACCTGGCCAGATACTTGTTCGACTTTGAGGGGATCCAGGTATCAGGGTGTTCTTTGAATATTTGTCTCGATTTCATATCTGAAGTAAAGGCTTTAACTGTCTCCAAAGTCAGTGACAAGATGTTGGGGCAGATGTATTGGTTCCTGCTTTAAGGTGATTATAATTGTTGCTCTCTGTGTTCAATAAAAGCCCTATAGAATGTTGCTTTTTAACAGCAGTTCTTTTCTTACCAAGGCAGTGGTGTTCATTGCAGATATACAAGAGGATGATGGACTATAGTGATAGCAATCATCCTCATTCTCAAAAGCATATTTCTATCATATTATCAAATAGTTATGGAGTGCCTCTTAGATGCTAGGTGATCACAGCTTGGATTTGACCCCCACATAAGCAAAACCCACCCATCTTAAGGGAGTTATTTTTAGTCGTCTCCCTTTCATCCTATATTACAAGCAACTAACATTTACTGAGCTTTTACTGCATGCCAGTCATTTCAGTGTGCTTATGTGTGCATCCTCATGAAGTTGATAATAGATCTTTTATTTTTTATTACATTTATTTATTTCCTTATTCATTGTGTGTATGCATGTATCCACTTTCCACAACATGTGGATGGAGATCAAAGGACAACTTACAGGAGTTGGTTCAGGTTCTGGTGATTAAGTTCAGGCTGTGAGCCTTGTAAGCTAGCACCTTGAATGCATTCTTTCTTACCCACTGAGCCATCTCACTGGCCTCTAATAATAGTCACTCCCTCCCTCCCTCTATCTCTTCATCCCTCCATCCCTCCATCCTTCCATCCCATTTTGGTTTGATTCTGGAATCAGAGCTGTAGAGTGATGAAGTCACTACCTTGAGCCATTATTACAATTTGTTCACTTCCCAATATCTTTCCTGCCCAGAACCCATTGATTGCTGATGATTTGTGAAGTCAGTATCAGGTGGTCTATTACTCACTTGGTATGGCCTTACTTTTTGCTTTTATTAATACTGTGATGTTACTAATCCAAGTGGAATAGTGGTGTGCATGCCTGGCTTCACTTAGTGATGCACCACCGTGTTAAGAGCATGGAGCTAGATTTGCACTTCACTTGCTGGCTGGAGGAGTTCTTTTGGGGATGTGTGCTGCTGTGAGTGCTGTCTTTGTGAAAACTTCCCTGAGTATGAATTTGCATAAATTGTTTTGGTACATAGTGGGAAGTGAGCAGTGGGGCATGAATGTGGGATAATAGAAATGGAACCAACACAGCTGACTTCTATAAGATGCCTTGCACAGCATCCAAATGCTCATTCCTGAGACAGAAGAATGCCAAGCTGCAGATCAAACCTAAGTCCTCTCTGGAACATAGTGTGTATTCAGAGGGAACTCTGTCTGCTTCCCTTTGGTTGTTACTTTAATGTTGATGCACAGGCAATGCAATGTAGTCTGGCTTATTTTGGGTTATTTTTATGCTTTTATTTTCTAAACGATAGGCCTGTGTTTAGCAAATTCGCTCTTTTTTCCCCCCTCACCAGAGTTGTTTCTTCTCCTCAGCTGGAATTTCTGATATTGGAAAATAAATGGTACTTCAAACTTGTAGCTGACTGAATCCCTGTTAAAGCTTGCCTCAGATGCAAGATCACATGTTTTTCCTTCCTCCTCTCTTTTTTTCTCAGTGAGAAATGGGGATGTTTTACACTCAAATTGGAGTGTTTTCCACAGATGCTTTCATTTGAACAAAGCAACAGAAAATCTACTGTAATTGTCTTTTTTTTTCTCCAAAATAATTGGAGGGTGGGGTTAGTTTGTTAGACAGTTTGATCCTGTAGTCCAGGCTGGCCTGGAACTCACTCTGTTGCTAAAGCTGGCCTCCCACTCTTGAAGATTGTCCTGCTTTAGAGTACTGGAGTACTCTAAAGTCATGAGGTACCATACACAGATATGATTAAAATAATTATAAAGTATTCTTCACACCTAACAGTCAGATAACCTCCAGATACTAACCAAGAGAGCATCTGTCCTCTGATTTCACCTCTGCTTCTAGGGTGTATGTATGATTCTACTTGGGGATGCTACTCTGGACTCATTGTGAATGGCATTATGTGAAACTTACCCCTTACTCCCTGAATCTTTTGCTTGGTAAAGGCTGAAAAGGGACAGGCTGGGAGGGGAGGGGATGACCCATCCCTGATTGCTTCTCCAGTTAGACACCTGTCCTTTTAGATCACCTGGCACTTGATGCTGTCTTATATAACACAATGAACTAACCCCACAGGGTTCTGCTCCATGGTATGGCTCCTGTCCTCAAGTGATCCTACTCTGCCACCTCATCCTTTTAGTCTTACTTTTGGCTTCCAACCACCTGTACAGAGTCCTAGGGGCAGGGGATAACATTTGATGGGTCTACAGGTAGAGTGTCTACCATTTCCTATGAATGGCCGCAGGAATGTCTTTTGATATTTTGCCTTGAAATTTGGTAGGAAAACCTTATGTGGATGTGTTGGGTCACCTGTTTATGCAGGTCCCAAATGTTCAGGGACTATTATGTGGTGGGCACTTAGGATAGGGACTGAGGAAATAAAAATGAAGAGATGGATTCTTCCTTCAGAAAGTTTGGTCTGAGCATATATTTGTGATAGAAGGCTAGAAGATGGGTTGCACAGCTGAGTGGACAGTTCATTTTGAGGGGCAACAACAAGCTTCCCATGGGATATGTGGAGGATTTTCAATAACAGATGACAGTTGGGGCAGAGTTTGACAGGGACCTCAATGTTAGAATAGATAAGGGAATGGACATTAGGACAGTATGAGACTAGGGTAGTGTTTGCCTGGGGATTAACTATATCCTTGTCAAAGAGCAAAGGTGGAATGGTTAGGTAGTAGCAGACATACAGTGGCTTAAATATATATTATATATACATATTTACTTCACACACACACACACACACACACACACACGCACACGCTCAGCCATGGCACCTCTTTCTCAGTCCAGAAACCCTCCAGTAACTTCCAATCTCACTTAGATTCAATTAAGTTTCTTACTGTTGTCTCTTACAGCGTACAGGGTATATGGTTTGACTTCACCGTCCCCTCCCCCCACTTCCACACTGCCACCATTCTCTCACTTAACTTCAGTTGTACTCCCTTCCTGAAAGTTTGGAACATGGCAAGCAGAATCCTGCCTCAAGGCCTTTGCCCTTGGTATAGTTTATGCTTTGAGTGCTTCCCCTGCCATAATCCTCCTGGCTCACTCCTGCACTCCATTCAGGCTCCAGATACCAGAGATGCTTCCTCTCACTGCCTTTCTACAGGCCTTCCCACACCTCTGCATTAGAAGGTGAGAGACTCCCTAAGAGCAGGGAGCATGGGGCGCAATGGTGCTATTCTGTTAGAATATAGAACGTAATAGTCAAGCTTGACAAATGCTTGTTGAGTTGATTTTTCAGATACTTGGAGCACATCAAACTCTCTTAACTCTTCCATGTTGCTGATGTTTCCATTCCATCGCTGCAGCTCCCATTATTTCCCTTCCACAGATGGACAAACCACATTCCATAGGAATTCAATATTCCAGTAAAAGTCAACGGAACTAGAGTGAGATGAAGCCCAGAGTCTGTGTAGCCTTCCTTTAAATCTCCTCCACCCTTGTGAAACATTTCTGGTAATGCTATCACTGCTAGCAGCATGCACCACATGCTTCATTCTCACTACTGAAGGCTGAAGTCTATTCCCAGGGGTTTAACTAGGGGGCAAGGTACTTTAGTTGCACTTAACATTTACTGTAAACAAGCAAAGGCAGAGGAACTACTTTTTTTTTTTTTTTTTTTTTGAGAACACAAAAGAGAGCTATTTCTAAGAAGGGCTTATATTTTGTTTTTATTACAGTGAGGGATTTGGGTTGTGAAGGAAGAAAAATAATCATAATATATTGTTATGAAGTAGAGACTAAATCTTTGGGAATGATTTTTCTGGTAGCAAGGTCTCATGTAGAAATTTTGATGCCTGTTTTATCTTCTCCTTACAGCCCCCTGAAGTTTACTAGTCTCACTTATTTTAGACCAAATGTGTTACTAAAACCAACAAATGGAAAAGATTTCTGAGGTAATTTTTGGCAACACTTAAAGTACTCCCAATTAAATAAAGTATCCCTTTGTTTGGATTAATTCATAATTAATGATAGTTTCTGCTTGTGTTTTTATCATCATGAAAAGCTTATCATTTTTTCTAGACTATATAGTTTAGAAGAAAAACAGTCTGTCTTTAAAAAGATGAAAAAATCTAAGGGATCCAAGGTATATCTTTGTAGTAAAATGTACATTTAGCATCCACAAGGTCCTGATACCATCAAAAAATAAAACTAAGAACATAGACATGCTTGCATGGTTTTGCCCATTTATTTCTCCCTTGTGATAGAAATCCTTGAACAAACAAACAATAAATTTTCAATGCAGAAAAAACAGACACAACACAATCCAACATCCAATAAAGCTCTAAAATGTGACTTAAAGAATTGAATTAAGCTAAAAATTTTAAACTATGTAAGTCTGAGTTTGTCAGTGAAACCCTGTATTTTTTTTTTTTTTTTAAGGAAAATAAAAAAGTAATACTAAGAAAAACTAAGTTACTACTCCTAATTGTTAGTGTGAAATTTTTTCCCTGCTTATTCCTGGACTCTACTATCCAGATGTTAAGGATTCAGCCTTTACAGAGATAGTAAAAGCCTGGCCACAGTGATGATCCTTTTGTAGAAAAGGGACATTCTATCCTAAGACCTCAACCCTGACCTTTCTTCACAGGGACATGACTTGCTATATCCATTGTCTCAGTTGGCTACACTTTCCTTTGAGAGTATGCCTGTGGCCACAAACTGTTACTGCATCTACAGATAAAGATGGATCATAACAGGTTCTCCACTGAGAGTCTCCACCAACTCCCAGCAAACCATTAGGATCCACATAGTAGATACAGGGAAAGCCCAATATGTCCCATGAAGATAAACTCTGTGAGAGCAAGTTCATTCTGGCATGGCACTCTGTGTACCTGATTTTCTTTGCTTAACAATTTATTTTTATTATGTTGTACATCAATCATCATGGTGACCTGACAGTCATATAACTGGTAACAAACGCAATGTTCCCCAATGAAGTGCATGTGTGTATAGAAAATAGTTCACTTGCTTTCATCATTATAGTGAGGGGTGTCTAGGGAGAAGGCACTGCGTGCTGACAAAGAGGCTTCTGTGATACTGTCTTGAGGCTAAAGAGAGATCTGATATTGGCTTCCTTGTACTAAAGATTACTAAAGAGTAAATACTGGAAAATATTTAATGTCTGGTATTAAATATTGAATACAGAGTTCAGCATCTGTGGCAGACTATGACAAGCTTTGGCAGCTAGGAAGGAACAAGTGGAAGATGAAGAAACTAGTTTCATTTCTCCTTTTGAAGTTCTATGTTTACACTATAGGCCTGATATGTCTTTGCTCCACCCCTTTGTCCTCCTCTTGCCAAATTTTGTGATCCGCTTTCAAGTACTTCTGTTAGATGAACTTCTTTTGAGCTCAGAGATATTGGAACTGTGCAAGTGTGTTTCTGAAAGCCAGAAAGATACCCCAGGCAGCCCACAGGTACTTAGTCACATGGTATTTTATACCCCCAATTCTGTCAGAGTTCTCTGAATTAGATCATAATATCCAGAGAGCATATATTATTGGTCACTGTGGTTTACTTAGTGCTCTTTTCATTCCTGTAGATGCAGAGATGAATAGTGTCAGCCTTGAGCGTGCTCAGAAGCAGTTAGCAATCAATAGAAGATGAACAACATACCATGGGTAGTGGGGGGAAGGAAGCACAGAGCATTAAAGAAGTCTGTCATACTGGTGGTGCCCTTGGGACACTGGGGTAGACACTCTGTAAGAGATATTGGAAAGTCTGTTCTGAAAACTAGAAAAGCTACAGTCATTTGAATCTGAGGTGATGGAATATAATTTGGTGCATTTTCCCAGTAGCTGGTGGCATGGGAATGACCAATTCCTAGAACACTCTGTTGTATGAAAAAGTGAGATGATTACATGAGATTAAGTGCATTTTGATTCTCCAAAATGTACTGTTATGAGAGCAAGAGTTATCATTTAACCAGAGTTTTACATTACTGCAAAATGTAGTTCTAGGATTTTATATAGAGAACTAAAGAATAAAAGAGATATCAGAGAAGCAAATACTGGGAAATTCTGAGGCCCCAGTCATTGAAAAACAAAATTGTGAAGTATCTAAGGTACTGAAGAGGAGAAAGATGTCAGGGGAAATAGTTGGGAGCAATAGAGTTTGGAAGTTACTAAAGGCTATGATGAAGTATGGTAAAATAAGGAGACCTTAAGGCCTTAGTATTAGTGATCCCCCCCAACCACTCGCTTTTTGGAGTCCTGCTGAATTGCTCAGGTCAGCACTGAATTCCTTGCTCCAATGATCCTCCAGTTTCCAGCTTCCTAAGGCATTGAGTCTTCAGGCATGGACTACTCAGCTAGCTCAAAACATTTTAACTCCATATTTGTATCCACTTCAGCCTTTTCTGAGCTCCTTTTGGAGAACATGAAAAAGAAGCAGAATGACAAAGATGATCACTGAAACCCTGTTTCTGTTTTTAAGCATCAATTCAACCCTTCCTAGTCTATTGCATCTTCAACATTTTAGTAAATTCTTGTCATGATTGGTGAAAGCAGATCAAGGCAGAGAACTTAAAGGCCCAAACAAACAAACACCTCTAGGTCCCTATTAAACGAGAAGTCTTCAAACTTCTCTAGTGTTTTGGATGCTGCCATACTATACCAACAGTCTCTATAGAATTTATTTTTAAACGTTCAAAATCTGCATTGTTCCTGCTTTGTGAATCACTAATGTATGCAACTGTCATGCTACACAGATGCCCAGCCCAGCGTGCTAGGGAAGAGTGCTAAAGTGGTAGCAGTCAGTTTACTTGAGAGCTAACCTATTGTTGCATTGCAATTGTAACATTTTTTCATCTCTCTGCATTTTATTTTTGCTCTCTCCTTGATCCCTGCTATATCTTAGGGGCTCATATGAATGGATTCATTTAACAATGTTGTTATAACTTCGCAAATGTACCAGGTGTTGGTTTCCTAGGCGAGTCTTACAGTTTATATTCAAATATGTATTGGTTTTTCATTAGTTCTGTGGGTCTCAGGAAATTAATTGAGGCCACTTTTTAAAAAATTATTTCTATGTCAGGCCACATGTAGGGGCTTTCAAGCTCAGAAAGAATTTATTGGTAGGTTATATGAACTTTAATCATAAATTATATAAGCGATTATAGTTAGCATTCATTCTTACTAAGTGTTGGATTGCTGTATTTAGTTTAAATATAGTAATATTGTAAAGTGAGGTGGGCAAGAAACTATGGACACACTGATCTCACACAGATAATGTGAGAAGGTCCAGGGTTTGTACAAAAGATTTTTGGTGTGAAGTCCACACCTTTCCTATCTATGCTGTATTATTTACACGGAAGATAGTTTATAAAAGGTCTCTGTTGGTAGGGCACTATTAATGTCAGTTGAAATTCACATTTCTCCCAAAACAAGGCTACATTCACACCAAGTGCAGCTCTTTCTCAAATAATGAGAACACAGTGCGAGCTCCCAGCAGGAAGTGGTCCTTAGAGGCCTACAAACTATTCACTTCGTTTGAAGTCAGGATTGGAATTCATTGTGACATGTCTTATTTGAGCTATATTAAATGTAAGAAAACCTGACATCTATAGAAGTTCAATGTTCATCATTAATCTCAGCTGTTAAATTTAGCTTCTGTAACATGCAGAATGTGAAATCTCACAAGGCAGGCGATAGTAGAAGAGAAGTGAAGGAGAGTCTCTCATTCTAATCTGTAAATGTTCTTATATAGCAAGATCCAGAAACAACTTAGTTTTGAAGGTGTAATACCTAGCTACTAAATATGTAGTCAGCAGTAGTTTCGACCAAGTTAAGGTTATAGAGTCTGTCTTTAAAAAAAAAAAAAAAAAAAAAACAGAAAAAAAAAACAAGATTTATAAAAGTCATCCATTTCTATTGATTAATTAATTAATTAATTGATTGATCGATTAATTAATTCATATGTGCATCCATTCAGAAACTTTAGAATACCTTTATGCTTAGCACTGACTTACATGTACTGAAGCCATCTTAACTATAGCTGCATTGCAAAGTTGACAAATAACTAATAAGAGTAAAATCATAATTACACCCTGTTATCTGAAATGCATTGCCTCTGAACATGTAGTTGGTTTGACATTAATCAGGGGAGATAACTAGACTAATTCATAAGTGGATGTTTGCACAAGCAAAACAGGCAGGTGGTTTGATGATGGTGGTGACATCATTGTATTTGGTGTGTTTCGATCCAAAAGAAAGTAGAAGCATTATAGTGTTTTTAAGACAAGACCTGCAGCTCCTAGTGCTCTGTAATTAAAAGGGAGTTAAATCATAACTGGAAGAGGTCAGAGCTGATACTCTGATACCACAGCTGGGCTCCATAGAAGCACCTGGGAAACCACTTCTACAGTTGGGATCAGGATGGGGCTGGGGAAGGGAGTTAATGGGTAAAACCTGGTCTTTGCTCACAGTCCCTCTTCCGTTTTATGTTTAAAGAAAGGGGGCTGTGGCTAAAAGAAATCTCAAAAGGAAAAGTTCACTGAAGTCAGGTCATGTGTTTTATTAATGAGCAAAGTAGAGCTCAATCTCAAGGGGGGAAAATAGTCACAAGATAAAATGAATGTAGAATATTAAGTAACCTGGGCCAGCAGTTGTCTGCTTTGCACGGACATTGGATGAGAATAAAATCAATTCTGATGGTTGAAATTAACAACAAATTGTGACTCGGAGGACAGAAAATGATGAAGGGGACTTTGGGACTGCAAATGGAACTTGTAAGAGAATTAAGTGCTCTTGTACCACAAATATAAACCAGTAGATAATCTCTAAAATTGACAGCAAGGGATAAATAACATGCTGAGTATAATGCTTTAAATGTTGGAGAAAATGCACGAACATATAGAAGGAAATGGAGGTGTTTTACTGATGAAAAGGGAAACAAGGCACTGCTATTTTCTGTGCATCTGTTACTTTTTACCATATAAGATAAAATCTGTTTTAGAGGAGGGAGGCTGGGTTGCAGGTTCATTTTCCATGTGTATACTTCCTTTTCTTGACAAATAAGTACAGATGTTCTTAAGGGAGCCCGTTCCTTGGAAGAGAAAAGTAAGGATACAAGACTTGGAGCTGCACATCAGGAAAAAAGGCCTGAGAGTACTCACATGTGGATCAAGGCTTCCTAATAAATCTCTTAAGTATTAGCTTACTTTAAGGGTCCTCCCTGCATTATCCCAAGCACAGAAGCTGCCCTGAGAAAGAGGAGAGCTTGACTGAGGTTTCGAAACATCATATACTTAAAAGTTGATGTCACTGATTGTTCCTGGTTTTCCTATAGTCACACCAATTCTAAGTGGAAATTATTCCCTAAATACTGTTGCTAATGTTTTCGCGTTGTTCTTTCAAACAGGGAAATGCACACAAAATCATGGAGAAGTGTACATTACCGCTGACGGGGAAACAGTGTGTCAACCGCATTATCACAGAAAAGGTAAAGTACTTTCCTCTTTTTGATTCCACGCACATCAACTGGCACCTTTCATTTAGAGACACTTTTGAGGCTTTTTAAAAATCGCCATATAAAATCATATTACATCAATGGCTGTAAGATTAATTGAGTCTGTGGAAGGAGGGAATGGGAAAATGAATGTCTCTCAATGTAGACTTGCTCATGAACAACTCTCAGGAATTCACACACAAAATGGAACTCTTATCCTGATACCTTTCAGTTTGCTCTCATCAGAGAAGAGCTTTATTGATCCTTAAATTTGGACTCTAAAGATGGGTGATATACTTCCCTGTCCTCTCTTTCTTTCTTGTCTGCCAAAATCACCAATAAACCATTGGGTTTTTATTTAGGAAATTCACCCACCATTGGGTTTGAGTCACTTGGGTATGAGTTGCAATTATGCTTCTTACATGGTGTCTGACCTTTTTATGAAGTGGACTTCAGAACACACCCACTACTTCCATGCCTCTGTATTTTGTTTCATACGTGGAAAACTTTGGCCAATTATATGGTTAAAAACTGCTCATAACAGAGATGTATTTGGGACAGCTGTCCACAGCCAGATTCTTATCCAAAATTTGAACTTAGGAAGTGGGAAAGGCATGATTTCTGTAAGTTATCTAGGAAGGTGTTTCCCTTGATGAAGCCACAGGACAGGACAGAATTGCTTGTCTGGGTTTCCCTGCCTTCTCAGTGATGCCTCTCTTCTTTTGACCAGTGATGTGCATGCGACAGTTGTATCTCACAGGGTTTGGCTCGCTAGCCTTCTTTACAGCATGGGAAGAGATACCCTAATGTATGTATGCTCTAAAGTAGGTTAAGTATACAACACTTCCCAGAAGCTGCACTTCAAGGGAGGTTCCATCTGGCTTGGCATTCCTGAGACAGTGTGGAATTCCATAAGGGTGCTGTATGGAGAACAAGCATATCAACGTCATTGTTATTTTTGAGTCTACTCTAAACTCTGGACAGGGCCTGTTGAGAAGAGCCATTGCTTTGCAGTTAAGACAGGGTCCTCCTCAGTCCTGATTTCTTTAATACAGTGTAACCCTAACAAGGAGTCTTCTAGCATTGTTGTTCCTCAACCTGATCCTTGCCCCCGCCACCCCTTCCCCCATTAAGCCCTCTCCCTGATGCCCTGCCCTGCCTTCCAAATCTACCTACAGTGCCTCCTACTTCTCATTCTGCTCTCTTATATTCCACCCATCCTTGAAGACTAGCTACAGTTTCCACTTGCATCACAAAGGGGCTTCTCATCCTCTCATTGCCCATCCTCATAGTGGGCCACTGTCTCCACCATTCACTCTAGCATTTAGTGCCTGCATTTTCCTGAGGTAACTTTTATGGGTGATAAAGCTTAATAACATTTCCAGCCCCTTGTATGTGTGTGTGTGTGTGTGTGTGTGTGTGTATAATTTCCAGCCCCTTTTTTATGTATAGTTTGTTCTTGCATGTTGTTTTATTCATTCTGTAAATTTTTCTTTAGAGGACCTTCTCTGAATCAGACTATTTCTAACAATGACTTACAAAGAGAAGGAGGAGGTTACAATCACTCATCAAAAGAGACATTCCATAGGATTATACAGGAGGCATCCAGCATCTCCAGCAGCCAGAAAAACAGACTCCATAGGAGTTAAGTTGTGACACACATACCAGATGCCATGTTAGGAACTCATATGGTAGTGCAGCAGCAGTACCAAGGACTGCTATTGGGTGGCATTATACATGGCATCCCCAAGTCAAACTTTTTTATAGTCAAGTCTTTCTGACTTAAGACTCTCCTGCCTGAGCAGTATTAAAATGCCAGGATCTCTGTCGAATTCTCCTCTGGACCATGTGCTTCTGGGACTGTGCATTCTCTACCTTGGACTGTTCTGTCCACCCATCCACCCATCCATCCACCCACCCACCCACCCATCCATCCATCCACCCATCCATCCATCTATCCATCCATTGCTTCCAATTGTCTTTTGTCTCAGTCATGTATCTTCCTGTTTTTCTGTCAAGTATCTCTTTTCCCTCCCTTCATGTCCTGTGATTGCTTCCTGGAATCCTTGTATTTAGCCTAACTTATAACTGACAGCTTATTGAAATGACCTCTAACCTCTGCCTGTTTCCCTCGTTGTTGCTCCTGCAACATTTTAGCAGGGTAACTAACTTGGACTCAGTCATCCTGTTAAATAAAGGTGTCATACTTATCATGATAAGAAAGCTGATAGGTTGAACTGTGAGTCTTGGAAGACAAATGGGAGTGTTATGATTGAAAATAAAATGGAAAAAGACAGCACAGGCAAAGGAGAAACTCATGCAAAGTCTCAGAGGGGAAAAGAAAGCTCGGTCTGTTCAAGAACCTGCAAACGGGACAGTTTAGTGACTCAGACTGAATATGAATTATAAATACTCTGCCAATAGCTCAGGCTTGTTAGTAGCTAACTCTTACATTTAAATTAACCCATATTTCTATTTATGCTTGTTAGTAGCTAACTCTTACATTTAAATTAACCCATATTTCTATTTATGCTTTGCCATGTGGCCCATGGCTTGTAACTTCATTTTCTATATATCCTGCTTGCTCAGTGGCTAGCTGGCATCTCCTAATCCGATATCTTTTTTTTCCCAGAGTCTTCTGATTCTGTCTGTTCCACCTATATATCCTGCCTGGCTACTGGCCTGTCAGTTCCTTTATTAACCAATGAAAGCAATATGTATTCACAGAGTATGGAAGGATTGTTTCACAACAACTTAGAGCACTCTGAGTTCAGATGTATTCTGAACTAAAGCAAAAAAAAAAAAAAAAAAAAAAAAAATGCAGTGAGGGATAAGGTCAAGGAAAGATGGGGTTGCTCTCCTATAAATGTGCTTCTTCTCAGGAGAGGGAGCCCTTCAGCAATTCTTTTATTAGTTAGGACACCATTTTGTATTAGTCAGAGCACTATAACTTTTGATTTTTCTAATAGACAAAAAAGAAGAAGAGACAAATCTAATTGAAAGGGCCTATCAATTGTCTAGGTAAGAAACACAAAAGATCCAAATCACAAACCAGAGAGATATTCTAAAGAGATTTAGGAGATGGGTCTTGGCCTAATTGTTGAGTAGGGCACAGCTGGTAAGACAGGTGAGGCCTGCCTTTTCCAGCAAGTGGGAATGTTCAAGCTGCTGGGTCCTGGTAAAGCTCGAGAAAGCAGGAAGAGGAAGGAAGAGCAGTGGGAGGCAGGAAAAAGAGGTTTGGTTTGACACTTTCAATTTTATATTCCTGATATTTTAAAAAAGACAACAAGGGAGTTGGATCTAGAGTTCAAAAGGGAAAGCAGGACTGGAATAAGTTAGGGGGAGTCCTTAGCATGTGGCCACAGTCAGATCAGTAACTGTAAGTGACACTGTGGGAAAAAGGAAAGTCAAGGCAGCTAATCTGCATCTTCAGCATCTCAGGGAAGGACACCGCAGGTGTGGATGAGGATGCAATGCTCCACAGATGTTGCTGGATGAGTGGATGAGGATGCAGTGCCATTAAAGGCAATGGCAGTTAAGGAACCAGAATTCCATAATCAGCACTAAGGAGAATTCCATTAGGCTGCCCTTTGAAAGTAATTATAATTGTTTCCTGTTGTATGGATCGGATTATAAAGGCTTATAAACGATAGCCTCCCCATCCGCACCTGGCTGTAATTAACTGTGGGATCCATAATGTAGCCTTTATGGTTGTAATAAAGTAATTAACTCACCTGTAAGACAAGGAATTTCAGTATCATTTTTGATTAGCAGTAAGACAAGGTAGTTTCAGTATAATTTTTGATTAACAGTTAACAATTTAACATTTAGGTTTTACTCTCTATTTCTATTCAATGTTTGCTTGCCCCTTAGACTGCCAAATGAAACCTAATTCCTCTTAAATTTCAATCATTGTTTCAGTAGAGTCAACCATGTTATCAAACAAGTAAGGGAAGTAAGCATCCCTTGTCCTGCGATGTTCCTTTTTAAGAAAAATATAAACCAATTGGAAAAAGTAATTATCTTAGGCCTTTGACTTGTCTTAGGCACTCTGCTAAACTAAGGAATAATAATATGCCTACACTGTAGCCTGGACACAATCCAGAGAATGATACATGCCTCATGGAGGCATTTTTGTGCTCTCTGACCACAGTTGCAAAGACAGGCTGCTCAGGCCTCTTAGCTGTCATGCAGGAGAGCTATGTGACAGGCCACCTCAAAAGCCAGTGCTCACTCTCCCCTGTGTTGCCTTCTTGATCTCAGTGTATTCAAACGTGACAGTTTAGAGTTTGACTTCAAAGGTGGTTGAAAACAAAGAAGGAAGACTACAAACTTAACTTAAACCCATGGAAGAAAACCTAGGAAACAACCTCTAAGCCCAAGAAAGGAAACTGCCTGTGAGAGCTGACAGAGGGTGCCACATACTGCACAGACACCAGCAGAGCAGAGTTTGAAGCCCCAGAGGAGTGCGGGGGGGGGGGGCGGGGTGGGGGGGTCTCACAATTAAAGTTGTTTACCAGCAATCTTCCCTGAGAAGTAAGTACCCCAGAACTAAGCAGGGCTTAGGTAGAAAGAAATTTACATTGAATGCTTTGTGGACTCCTCCCACTGAAGTCAAGAGATGCTATGGGTTGGTTTTGTGGCCCTGATGTTGTGATGGATTGTGTAGGTGGGGGCCAGCATTCCTGTCTGCCTTCAGCACTAGCACAACCATTTGATTTGATCACCAAAAGGCTGTGGATGCTCATGCCCTTCTCTTGGGACTCATGTGTTTTCTTGGGAATTTAGAGGTTGAGGATCTTTGCCAGTGAGAACTTGAACAGCTATTTAGTTGTCTTGGCTGGGCTTTCAGGGCTAGGGAAGCTTTTATTTCATAATTACACTTAAATACTATAGTGTCTTCTTTTATTTCCTACAATCATTTATCCAGCAGCATTTCCTCACCATCCCTGTCCTATACTTCTCCACTGTGTTCATTCCTTTCCCTCTTCAGATCATTGGTTACATCTTGGCCTTTCACCCAATGTCTTAGAGTTAACAAATGGAAGACAGCTTAAAAAAGTAAAACAAAACCAAAAACTTGATAACAGCATTAGAAGATGCCAACTGTAGTCACCAACTAATGACTGGTTAAGGAGCTTGTATTATCTATAATAGTTATAGTGGACATTATTTATTTATTTATTTTTTATTGTTGATTTTCAATCTTTGGTCCTGGATCTTATTTCTATCCTAGGAACTTGAAAGTACCATCTATTTTTGTGTGACAATTTTCATAATGGAAATTGTCATTTTCTTGTCTTCCCACAGGGTGTGTTTGATGTGGACAAGAAAAATGGGCTGACACTGATTGAGCTCTGGGAAGGCCTGACTGTTGATGACATAAAGAAGAGCACAGGCTGTGACTTCGCAGTAAGTGTTTATGTACGCAGAGCCAGCCTCTTGTGCTGGACCACAGGCTGGGTGAAATAATGGTTATAGGACTCAAGCCATTTGTTTCTGAGCATTTAAGGGGATGATCTGAGCAGGAGTAGGAAAGGGAGCCACCTGTGAGAGCTGGTAGAATAGTAGGTGTGTGACTCAGGCCAGGGCAGTCAGGTGTGAGACAGGAGCAGGAGGACACACCAGGAGCTACAGGGGACAGAGGACAAGCTGCTGCTCATATGCCTTGTGTAAAGTCCTGGGAGTCATCCGTTATTTGTCAGGGTGGCTAAACCGAATGTCAGCCACGTGTGGGAAAGTAATACTTTCTTCTTCTTACACTCATCTGAAGATGACATTCCCCCTTGATCTGTGTCTTTTATTCCATCCATTAGAGATATTGGAATGTAACAAGTGCAAACTAGTTGTATCCTACTTGCAGAAAAATAATAGTTCACAGAAAACTCAAGAGTGGGAAACCTAACAAGGGAGGGTTACTATTAAAATTTTTGTACTTACACTTTTTATTTATCCTTTAAAATTGTATTTATTTATTGCATATGCATAAAGGTGCGTATTATAAATCACCAGTCACCTTCCTGTTATGGTTGACAGACAGATGCAATTAACTTAAAGTTAACTGAAGGTAAAGGAATATGTATGTCTCTAAAAAGTGAGTGCCAGAACCCATTTACTAATTACAATGAAATATAATGAGATGAAGTTATAAAAACTCACTTAACAAAAATTATTTGCTATGTTCTCCACAGATTTCATCCTTAACTTCCTGCGCACACAGACTTTCCTTGTACCTACAAGTGCATAACAAATTTCTTTGAAAGGACTTTGTTGTGTAATTCATTATGTGCATAGTAACCACTCCTGGTACTCTACTGTGGTCTTTTGTTTACTAACCTTTTCTGAATTTCCCTTTAGAAAAAAAAAAAAGCAGTCTCCCAGCAATACCTTCCTTGAAATGCAAATTTTTAATTAGCTTTCTCATAACCTCGGGGGGGGGGGGGGACACGGAAGGGGATTTATTTATACTTCAACTGTTTCAGATTTCGTACTCCAGTGAAACAAGCAACAAACAGTTCTTAATCAGCTGTGTTTTTGTTTTTTGTTTTGTTTTGGTTTGTTTTGTTTTTTTTTTTTTTTTTTCCCTGTGTGGAATAGGAGCCCTCTGTCAGGTAACACCAGAGAAAGGCAGAAATTTCAGTTTCTGCTGCAAAAGAATATACAGCAAAAGATCCTCATTATCTAGATGTCTGTTATGCATGAGGGCAATTCAGAAAAAAAAAAATTGCTGTTTTGTTATACCCACATGAGGGAGGAAGGGCAAGTGTGCAAACCCCGCTAATGGTCCCGTATTCATAGAATTGAAAATGTCTCCATGGTCCTTCTTGTATTCCAGTATCATCCCTTCCTTTTACTTTTACTACACTGATGTGAAAATTGGTTTATTTATGGGGTATATTTTGATGTTTTAATGTGTGTATGCATTGTGTAAAGTCAGGATGAACATTCCTGCCCTCAAGCATTTCTTTGTGATGGAAACATTTAAAATCCTTTTTATTAATGTCAGGACTTACATAGCACAGAGCCATTATAAATATAAGGCAGTCACACCACCGCACAGCAGTACTTTACACACTCTCACGCCTAACAATAACTTAGTACTCAGCGGTTGACCTAGCTCATCCATCTCTCCAATTCTCCTTCCAACCTCCACCATTCTACAGGTTTCTTCTATGAATCCACACTAGTTTCTATTCTACATGCAAACGAGATCATGCAATACTCATTTGGGCTTGCTTGCTTAGTTCATTTAAAACATTGACTTATAATAGTTTCATGTATGTTGCTACAAAAACCAGTAATTTATTTTGTATTAATAGATAGTTGTCTGTTGCACATGAATACCATTTTCTATGTTTGTTCATTAGGTGGTAGGTATTCAAGTTGTTTCTATTTCTTGGTTCTTATGAATAGGGAATGTAGTTGTATCATTGTTGTAAGGGTCTTTTCTCCTTTGTAGTGAGATTGTTAGATCATACAGTGATTCTGTTTTTAATTTTTGAGGAAATGCCTGTTCCTACCAGGCTTCCCTTCTATATCCTTGCCAGCATTTGTTCCTTTATGATTTTACACTTGGTTTTAGCAGAAAGATCAAGAACAGTATCTTTGTCCCTTTGATAATAGCTAATCTAACTGGTTTGATCTGGCATCTCATCATGGCTTTGATTTTTATTTCTTTAATGATTAATGATTGTGAAAATTTTCATATTGTTGGCTTTTTTGTGTGTCTTATTTAGAAATATTGTACACTTTTTTGTTTGTATGTGTGTTTGTTTCAAGACAGTGTTTCTCTGTGTAGCCTTGGTTGCCATATAGACCAGGCTGGCCTTGAATTCAGTGAACCAATTGCCTCTCCCTCCTGAGTGCTAGGATTAAAGACATGTTGCCCCCACACCATGTTGCCCATTTTTAATTGGATTATTTGGGAGATGCTCTTGCTGTTGAGTTGTTGGAATCCCATATATGCTTTCTGTATTTTAACTTTTTGTCACATATGTGTTGTTAATCCTTTGTGAGAACATGCTGCAAGGAGTCTTGTCCCTCTCTTTGCTTGTTCCTTTTGTTCTGCAGAGCATTTTAGTTGCTACAATCTCATTTGTTTTTGCTTATTTTTTTTTCTCCTGTGCATTGGTGTCTTCTCTTAAAAAAAAAAAAAAAAAATCCTTGCCAGTTTCAAAGTCCTGAAGATTTTTTTTTCTTGTTTTCTTGTGCTAGTTTTATAGTTTAAGAGTTTTGTATTTTGTAGTTGGTCACTGACAGACAGGCAGACAGGGGATGGGTGTCTAATTTGGTTTTACACATGGATATCAGGATCTCACAGCACCATGTATGAGAAGCCTGGCTTTTACTTGGTGTTTTCAGTTTTTCATTATTGTTAGTGCCTTTGTCAAAAGCAGGTGACTTCAGATCACTGGTCTTAATTCTAGAGCCTTTGTCCTTTTTCATGGGTCTTTGTGTGTTTCAGTTGTCATAGATTTGCAGTCTATAAAAGCGTCATGCTATTTCACTTGCCATAGATTTGAGTTTATTTTAAATTCAAATAAGGCAATGCTTCCTACTTTGCACCTGTAGCTCAAATGGCCTTGACTATTCAAGGCTTTTTGTTTAACTTGCAGTATTGCTTCTGGTTCTGTGACTGGTGTTTTGAGGAGGAACTTCATAGCTGGAGAGATGGCTCCATGGTTAAGAGCTTTTGCTGTTCTTGAGCAGGACCTAACCAATCTTAGCACCCACATACATGGTGCTTATAACCCTCTGTAACTCCAATTCCAGGGGATCCATTAATCAATTCTGGCCTCCGCAGACATGATGCACAGACATGGTACAGATACATACTCATGGTGCACTTTCATATATGCAAACAAAACACTCACATACATTTTTAAATAAAGAATCACATTGGGTCTGTAGATCACATTGAATAGTGTATACATTTTAATGATATTTGTTCTTCCAATCCATGAGCGTGATAGCCTCCCATTTCTTTATACCATGTTCAGTTTCTTTAGGTCATTATGGTGTTCATCTCTGCTTGGACATTTGGGTTAACTCTACCCTTGTGCTCATATTTTGAAAGAAGGTTCTTCCCAAATACTTATTGAATAATTATTTATTTTCAAAGAATCAAAATAATGTATATTTCCTCATTCTAAAGCTGTGACAAGTTGATGAAAAATCCCAGGTCCTTTTTAAAGAATACTTTTTAATGTATTCTTTGACAATTTTATTCAAATATAACCCATGTATATTGAACATGTCCACCTTTATCCTAGACTTCCTTAAGAATTCTCTACTCATGGTCATATCTTTTCTTTTTTTCTTTTTCTATTTTCTTTCTTTCTTTTTTTTTTTTTAATTGTATAGTCTACGATTCAAATTAGTGCTGCCCTACATGCACATGGGTGGGGCCTATCTACCTGGGCTATTTAGCCATGCCACCCCCCCCCAAAAAAAATAATGAATCCCCTTCGCCTAATAGCCATCAATTGCCCAGTAGTTTTTCAGCTAGTTGTGCAGTTTCATGAGTCCTTCTCTCAACCATGTGGGAATGTGACTGATGACCTCCTTCACTGATACTTTTAATTCTGTCTATACTTATATTAGTCATTGTGTGTTTGAGGGACCAAAGTGCAGAGGGGGAAGTGATTTCATACCACTTAAAGTATGTTATCTCTGAAGTATCATTTACAGTGCATATTAAGTTAAATTGGTTTTTCACTTATTTCTTTCCTGATGAACACTTAAGTTCATAAAATAGAATTTCTTTATCTATATCTATTGATCACTCAGTATTTCTGTAGTCCTTATTTAATTCAAAAATTAAAATTATGAATTGAAGTTGTATGTTAGGGTCCTGTGGAGAGTAAACTTTGACTTCCGTTTTCTCTTTCTTTCACCAGGTTTCACCAAAACTCAGGCCAATGCAGCAGATTTCAACTTGAAATGTGGAGTAGACATTTGTCTCAGGATGCCAAGATTTCATTTTGAACACATAGGATTTAATTGAAAGGGTGTCAGTAATCAAAGCTATATATTTAACAAGAAGTTTTGACTCGTTTTCTTCTAGTATTTCTGGATTTGTGCAGCCATAGACTGTTCTCTTGAGTGTGTTCTCATGTTTCTATGAAAAACAAAAGGAAAACATTTCATCATGGTCTCATTTCGTAAGTGCTAAGGAGGTTGTCTTTGCCATTGGTGCTCATGTTGGATGTATGTTCATTTTTTATGCTGTGTATACTAAACCAGAAAATTTTCATGTGAATTTGTGATTAGACAGAGTACTTTTTTGATGACTATGTATCATTTACTTTCCTCTTTTTTTGAGAGAAAGCTCTGATTTGGTGATTATGCTTGCATCTTTAGAACATCCTCCTTCCCTCCACACTTCTTATAGCCAAATAGATATCCAAGAAGGCAAATAGGAATGTCTCTAGAAGAAGTAAGCAGAAGTAAGAACAAGGCATAGGATCTGACAGTGCTGGCATCCCACCATGCATTGTCTTTGTAGACAACCAACCACCTATGTGCACTAACAGTTGAGGCTAACTATAGGAAGAGGACTACTGACATACTTGTCTGGTTCTCCCACTTTAAGGAACTTGCTATGCCTTTGTATTCAGAAGACTCAGTTTTTGTTATTGAGCCCCAGTGTTTAATTATATAGCATTTCCTAAACCAAAAAGAATGGTGGGCAATTTATCATGAGTACTAAATCACAATGGAAGTAGTATTTGCAAAAATGATCTTCCAAGATATTTCCCTTCTAGGTTCTCCAGTCTGTTCACCAAAGATTCTAAATGAAGAATGACTTTTTCTACAGAACAATGGTATTTCATCTGCTTAAATTAGTTCCCTTAACAAAGTGCTATTACTTTAGCCTGATCTGTGGAGGGAGAGGGATGGGAGAATCTCAGATCTAAGTCTAAACAAGATGACTTGGGATTATAAGGGATGCTTCCTTAGAAGTACCCTCAATACCAGACAGTTTCCAGGAAGCATCAGTTCAGAAATTCCCTCGGTATCAGATGTGTGAAAGCCTAGGCACCCTGAAGCCAGGCTGGACAGCTGGTGTCTGCACAGTAATTTGTTTGCTACTAATTATAGGGATGTATGCATGCTTTAGGTGACGGTTGTCATTGAAACTCACTTCTCCTCAAGGATAGCCACAACTAACCTGTACAGTATGTAAAGGAGAAGAAGGCTTTCCTCCCACAGTACTCTGTGGAGCACTGCCTTTCTGGCTGGCTCTGTGGTTGAAAGCATCCTGTGCCAGTGCTGATAGGATGAACCCTTCTTAGCACAAGATCCATGAGAGGAAATATGTCTGTGTTAGAGTAAACTTTTGAAAGTATTAATATTGTTGATATTGATGTGTCTTCAGATGCACTTGCTTATCATTCCAGTCTGTTACTTTAAGACAAGGGGATTCTAAGAATATTTCAAACATTGTCAATGCCTGAGTAGATGACTGAATAGATGCTCAAAGAGGGCCATATTTTTAAAAATCTGTTCAGCGATGCAATAAAAATTACAAATTTGACAGAAACCAGTGTGTTTGTTCTCTTTTCTCACTTGGTAATAGTGTGGCTCCACGTGGGAAAACACAAAAACAATGTTAGAATGACCAAACGTTAGGTCAGCATGCTTTTACTTCTAATCAAGCCATTACTGTATTATTGTTTCTCCTTTCTTTCTTTCTTTCTTTCTTTCTTTCTTTCTTTCTTTCCTTTCTTCCTTCCTTCCTTCCTTCCTTTCTTTTTTTCTTTTTTTTTCATGGGGTTGAGGGTGTTGAAACATGGTCTCTCTGTAGACAAATTGACCTTGAAATAACAGAGATCTGCCAGCCTCTGTTTCCTGAGTGCTGGGATTAAAGGAGTGTACCACAATGTCTGGCATTAACTTTTCTTTTTACTATACCAATTAGATAAATTTATGTTCTAGGAAGAGCAAAAGAAATATTACCTAAATGGATTCTGCTGTACCTTACTCCCTATCACAGCCAATATCTGTGGAAATTGATTATCAAGCCTTTATATGTTAATTGATTTTGCTTTATCTGACATTTCCCTTATGGTACATTTCTATTAATCAAGTGGCTTTTTGAGTTTTATTGCAGTTTTAAATGTCTTCTTGTAGTCTGTCTAGTACCCCATTGTCCCTTTACTAACAGTCTTTTCTTCCTGACCAAAATCTTGGAATTGGGAAAAGATTTATTTTTTATTCTTTTTTTTTTTTTTTTTCTTTCAAGACAGGATTTCTCTCTGTAGTCCTGCCTGTCTTGGAACTAGCTGTAGACCAGGCTGGCCTTGAACTCACAGCAATCTGCCTGTCTCTCTGCTTCCATAGTGCTGGGATTAAAGGCACGAACCACCACCTCCCAACAAGAGGACAGGTTTCTAAGACATGTAATTCTTGATAGCTCTCCTCTGCCCACTCTATATGCAGAAATTGTCACATGTAGGATATACCAATCAGATTATTTTTCCTATGTTCAAACACAGTGAGATAAAAGAGTTCCCCCCCCCCTTTTGAGAAATTGGAAGAATGGGATCTGGCATTAGCACCCAGTCCTCTGCTAAAAACGTACATATGCACACATACATATGTACACACACTCTGCTGCAAAGGAAGAAGCAGACACATAAGGAACTGTGGTGGAACATTCCTGTTGTATTCTGACCCCAACTTCTGGTTTTACCTAAGCAAATTTCTCTCCAGCTTACCTGTATTTCTTCCAGACCTTCCATTTTGTTTGTCACCTGCCACCACAAAATCTATTAATTCAGCTTTGACGTTCTTGAGTTCTGTGTGGGGCCTGACCTCTTACAGGTTTGCATAATATGAGAAAAACAGCCTATCTACTGAGTCCAGTGAACACAAGCACAGGTGTGGATGCTACCAGTGGGTAGTAGGTTTAAGTTGAAAAACTTGCCTCTTACAGTTGTATGCTCTAAAGGCATGCTATGTATTAATGGAAATTAAGCAGAGGTTTAATCAGTGGATAGATTTCTTTGGCATGAACATCCTTTTTTTCTATAGGCTATGATCTGGCATTTCTTAAGCTTACTTCTGGATCATTATTCTTTAAAATGAGATTATACCATTTTCCATGATGGCTTCATAACATGAAATTAATATATCTGCCTCAAAAATTCTTACATATCTTTCAAAAACACTATGTCATATTAGCTTAGTGTGGACTTGATTGGTCCTACTCTCAGTTTTCAGTGTCTTCCTGCCTGCCTATTTGAGGCCATATTAATACCAAATATCAGGATAAACATAAATACAAATAAAGGTAATATCTGCAGGTCTATCTGTGTGATGTGCTTGAAGTCTCTTTCATTTAAAATATTAACATGTATCTCTATGGAATCTTCCAGAAATATTTTGTGAATCACCTAGCATCATTGAGAGCTCTAGATATGTAATTGGACAGATGAGTTCTTTTGCAATTGTGTTTTATTTTGGAGGCTTGATTGTGGTCACTGTGATCATCAGTGAAGTACCCTTGTGGTAGTTTGGATGTAATTAGCCTCCATAAGCTCATAGAGAGTGGCACTGTTAGGAGGTGTGGCTTTGTTGGAGTAGGTAGGTGTTGGCCTTGTGGAAGAAAGTATGTTACTGTGGGGGTTGGCTCTGAGGTTTCCTGTGCTCAAGATACCACCCAGTATACACAGACCATTCCCTGTTGTCTGCAAGATGTAGGACTCTCTACTACTTCACCAGCACCATGTCTGTCTATATGTCACCATGCTCCCTGCCATATTGATAATGGGCTGAACCTCTGAACTGTAAGTGAGCCATCTCAGTTAACTATTTTTCTTTATAATAGTTGCCATGGTAATGGGGTCTCTTCTCAGCAATAGAATCCCTAACTAAGACAACCCTGTTGGAAGAACCTCAGGCTATTTTACCCTGGCCCTTCATTACCATGACTTACAGCACCTCAGCTAATAAACCTTGGGATCCTGTGTCAACATAGCCCATTTTGTGTCTAGCCCACTGTTTGTAGTATTTCATTCCATTTGTTATCCTCTATTCAGTTCAGGAGAAAAGTGACTTCAGAAACTCACATCTAAACCTTGTTTCCCTTGGAGCCTTGCTTTTGATTTAGGGGGAGAGGAAGTAGCATTTCCCACTTTATTTTCCTGGAAATTGGAGTGCCTCTATACCCTCTCCAGATATTGTCTCCAGCTCCCAACCTTTGCACACAGAATGTGCAAGAGTAAAGAGTTGTGCTGGTTCTCAGGCAGATCTGCCCAAATCAGTTTTGTGTGTGTGTGTTCATGTACATACACACTGTGCTCTTTTTTTACTAGATAATTAAGTTTTAAAAATTTCATTTTACGTTCCAACCACAGTTCTCCCTCCCACTCCTCATTCCCCCACCACCTCCCAGCCCATCCCCCATCCACTCCTCCCACTGGGGAAGGACTCCCATGGGAAGATGACAAAGTCTGGCACATTAAGTTGGGACAGGACCAAGCCCTTCCTACCTGCATTAAGACTGAACATGACATCCTACTGTAAGAAATGGGCTCCAACAAACTAACTCATGTACCATGGACAGATGCTGGTCCTTGTGCCAAGGGCCCCTCAGCCCAAGCTTTACAACTGTCTCCTAAATCATGTTCTTAATGTATGTAGCTATTTAACAACTCCATGACTGGCCATCACTGGCCTGTGATAATTTTCTAAATATATTGATTGAATTAGTGTACCATTTGAAAACATGGTTAATAGTAACCAGTCTGAATTCCCCTTGGTAATGTCATATCTCTTAGGAATATGTACGGGGAATAATGGAACCTAGGGGCTGTCATGAAGGAATAAACAGTACTGAAATGCCTATATTTGTATAAACACTGTATAATTTACAAATCACCCAGAACATGAGGTACCTTATTTGATTTTCATAGTAACTTGCCAGGGAGACAGTATTACTGCCATTAAAATGAACTTGATTAGCCTTCGAGAAGTAATGTCCACCAGTTCTTTAATCCAAATGAGCCTTTCTAGGCTAATGTTGAATTTTACCAAGGTAGTTATGAGATGCAAATTAAATTCCTTGAATAGAACTAGATGTGTTGCTCTCTGGTTACGCCCTAAAATAAAGTCCACACCTTTCAAACCTAGTGGAACAAATATTCTGATTTACTTCTCTCTGTTCACATCACTCTTGCATCACCTAGTTTATAGTAAAATGGATAGTTGAGACAAAACTGATAATGTCCCCACCAGGAAAATGTTTCTGTGGCTGATGCCTAATCACTCATGTCTGTTCACTTGAATGGCTTTGGTTAGGCAAGGTAAGAAAGCTTACATGACAGCAGCAGGAAGGACAGATGGGCTGAAACCATTCTGAAATCCTACTTCCTGTGTGCTACCCATTCCTCATGTTCAAAATCTTGGACATCATATTGATTCAGGTGAACCTCCTAAGAGAAGTCTTACAGTGTCATGAAGAGAGGCTGATCTAATGAGGTTAACCATTCCTTCCACCAAAAGAGAATGGATCCATGGAGAGAAGGCCAGAAGCAGAGGATGCTGGGTAGTGGGATGGATGAGGAGGCCTGCTCAGCAAGTCCTATGTAAATGAGAAGATATAAGTGTTACTGTCACATTTCTTGGAATGTCAGGCATTGCCATACATAAAACATAGCATGCTTTTGTTTACTCTTATCAGTGAGAAGTTGTATTGTGTACATAGTAAGGATTTTTAAATTTCTTGGCAATCCCAGATGGATTCATCAAGTATTCCCTCCCCACTAACAAAAGGGTCATTGATGGATGTTTGGTGTGGCTGATGGGAAACCCAGGCATGTAATGGCCAAAGGAAATGCTCTATCTAAATGCTGTACATTTGAAATCCAGGGTCTTCTTCATGACCAGAGATAAGTAGTTAAAAAAGACAAGATCATATTGGTGGCATGGATGCCTGTCTCAACATCTCTGAAACTATGGGGCATTGTGAAGCTGAGAGCACTCAGCTATAGGATGCCATTGGTTGTGCAATCCATTTTATTTTCAGAGACACTAAATGTGTGGGTACATGAATTGGAGTTCTAAGGTTGTTCTGAATAGCACTGGATTAAAAAAATAATTTATAAAATAATCCTTCTTTTATGTATCTACATGGTACTCAGTACTGGAAAAAAATGTCCCAAAGATACACTTTAAAGGGAGGAAAGACTTAACAGTTTCATTCATATGTATGTAAATGAGTGCTTGAAAATAGCTGTCAATCAGTTCAGCAGTCCAATGGTTTATTATGTCATCTTCCAATCATGGTTTTTCCAGTAGGAATGTCATTGTCCTCCTGTCATTAATCTTTCAATGCCATCTTTTCCACACATCAAGCATATATAAGTTGAAAATTTGTAGGTATTGTTATTAAAGATGTCTGATCTGTTACATGGGCTCAAATACATAAACCAAGTATGAAAAGCCAAAACATTGGAAGAGATATTTGTGGATTAATAAAATACCTCGGCAGGTAAACACACATGCATTGGAACCCTGACAACTTGAATTTGGTCTCTA